AGGCCCACCGCCGCCGAATCCAGGCGCTTGCCCGGCAGGCGCTTGCCCGCCGCCTTGCTGCTGCGCACGCTGCTGCGCAAGCAGGTTCTGAATGGCAGACATGGCCGCCGCCGACGAGTCAGCCGCCGCCTCGCCGGTACTGGCCGAGCCGGCACCAGCCGAAGTCGGCTCTCCGGCTGCCGCGCCTGCAAACGCAGGCGCGTTGACGGCCCGCTCCTGCTGCAGCCGCTTCTGACGCTGGATGCGGAGCCGCTGCTCATCGTCCATGTCCTCGTCCGAGTCGTAGTTGAAGCCCTCGAGCGGGTCTGGGCCAGCCGGCGGCAGGTCGGCCGACGGCACCGACGGCGTCGCCGGCTTGCCGCCGGCGCGCAACTGCTGCAAGTTGGCAAAGAGGCCGGTGAGGCCGGCCTGCGCCGCCAACGAGTTAGACGCCAGCGGCGCCGCGGCCGGTGACGGCGGTGCCACCGCCTGCTGCGCCTTGAGCTTGGCGAGCGTTGCCTGCAGCTCGGCAAGCGCCGACGACGATCCCGCAGCCGTAGCCGACGAGCCTGCAGCTGCAGCTGCAGCCGACGACGACGAGCTCGCGGCCGCGGCCGCCGACAACGAGCTCGTAGCTGGATGAGCCGCCGACGAGCGGGATCTGCTCCCCTCGGCCACAGCCGCAACCTCAGGTTCAACCTCCTTGCCTAGCTTCCGCGCCATCCACACCTTGATGCCGGCAAGAACGCGCGACGAGAACATCTTGCTCTCGGCCCACACATTGACCAGGCGCTCGATCTTGGCGCGGACAGGCTCGCACTCCCACGCTGCCGAAATAGCCTTGGGCAGCTGGGCGGCAAACCGCGGGCCGTAGCCCTCCTTGGACCCGTTGGCCTTGATGGAGGCCTTAACCACCGCGTCAATCATGTACAGACCGGAGAGCCGGTACACCGGCTTGGACTTGAACACAAACTTGAGAATGTAGTGCGCCACAAACTTGTACCGCGTCTGTTGGGCCGGCCGAACCGACGACGAGCCGCCGATAGATGGTCACACCCATGGCGAGCAGGTGATCGATGGCGGCAAGTGATAGCAGAGGCAGTGACCAGGCGAGCGAGCAGAAAGCAGAGAGCGAGAAGTAAGCGGTGAGCGGAAGCGGTGATCAGTGGCGGTGGACAGCAAGTGACGCGAGCAGCAAGCGACGAGCCGCAAGCGGTGAGCGACGAGCGAGCGAGACAAAGCCGAGGACCAAGCGGAGAGTTTGCGTGTGGGGAAAGTGGTGGTATGAGAGAGTTAGTACATGTATGAACATGAGAGAAAGTGTATGGTATGGCGCATGATGTGTAGTACATGCTTGTCAAATTTGTAGCTCTGTAGAATGACTCTTGCTTCTTTCTGTGGACGTACCTTGTAGTGCTGGAGTGCCAGCTTGGTGATTTTTTCAATGTGACTCGGTGCCACAGGCGGCTTGGTAGCATGGATAGCCTTGAAGATGGCATTGAACACATCCTCTCCCGCCCATTTGGACATCACAACCGAGTATTCTCTCTGCTCTCTCTGTCCCTCTCTCTCTCTCCTCTTCCCAAAGAGTCAGATACCCGTTCTTCTCCCTCCCTCCCTCCCTCCCCCCCCCTTCCCTACTCACCTCGTTGCTGTTGGTCAACTGTCGCATGTTCGACTCATTCTCGCCTGATCCATTGCCGCCCGAGATACCGATGCAGGTCAAGGAGCATGATGACCATGATCCCCGTACTCAGCTTTGACTTTGACTGGCGAGAGATCCGCTTTGTCTGCGCAGTGACGAGATCCATCCGATCATTGGACGAACCGATCAACTAACAATCGAACGATTAATCGCACGTTCGACCAAACACTCAACAAGCGAACGATTAATCAAACGTTCAACAATCGAACGATTAATCAAACGTTCAACAATCAAAGAAAGTCCAAACACTCAACAAGCGAACGATTAATCAAACGTTCAACAATCAAAGGAAGTCGTCGCCGAACGAACGATATCAACCGAAGAACAATGATAACGAACGATTATTTTGGAATGATGTGGGGGAAAAAGGAATACGGAAGGAGCAGCAGGTGAGACAGGAGGGGGGGGGGGGGGGGGGGGGGGCAGTGGGTACCACCTACCCCG